GCTCTTGTTAGAGCTCCTTTTTAACAGACTATTTTAAGGGGTCTGGCAAAGACCCTTTGTCTAATCTACACTACAGGTTGCTTCTCCAGAGCCTGCATCTCCATCAGTCTGGCTTCTCATTCTGTACCTGTAACTACTCCTAAAATCAATGTAATTGAATAACAGAAAAAAAAGCCTTATCTAAGCCTTTCTTATTGAAAACACAGCTCTGTACAATGCTAGCAACTGTAAATATTAATGAAATGAAAATGTCCACTACATTTCCATTTTTTGAACCCATTTCTGGCTTTCCTTTTGAAGCGTACAGAGACTTTTGCTTGAATAACACTAGAACAACAAACACAAATGAGTATTTTACTGACAACAGTGAACAGGAACTCCCATTAAATGGTATTACTGATTTCAGTGAACAGATGAAGCAGAATTGGTTTTGCTCTAGACTTACAAAATCAAAACAAAATAAAACAAGCAAAAAAAAAAACCCCCAAACAGACAAGCTTGTAGTAAATACAAAAGGAATTGAAGGAAGATCTTCCCAGAAGTCACCAAGCTGCAAGGAGTTGAGTATCACCCAGTGGCAGTCTTCAATGGTGTTACATGAGTACCTGAAAGGGTTGAGCCACAAATGGTCAAAATTTGGCCTGTGGGATTTATGGTAATGTACAGCTTTAAGCAACGTAGAAGCCAGAATCTTTACATAGGTGAGAGATTGCCAGAAGCAGACCCAACATATTTTTTTGACAGCTTATTAAGGATGCACAGGTGTTTTCTGAGCAAGAGGCAGCAGTGTCTTTTTAACACAGGCTCCATATCTGAGAGCAGGCTCTACCCCACTACTGGTACCTGGAGAGATTCTTCTGAATTCAGTAAATTACACTGGATTTACAGCTGTATTAGTGACAATGAGAATTTGGACCACAGATTGCAAATCCACTCTACCTGCACTATGGTAATGCTACTGACACAATCTCATTACTTTTGGTCATGTCTGGGTTGATGGAATAACCCTAGGCAGAATCCTTGCTGTTTTCCAAGCTGTTATTCCAAATGACCTGACTATTATGGTGAGACAAACACAACAAACTGAGTAACAGGGCCAGGAGCATACACTGAGCCCAGAAAGGTACTTTTCCTTCGACTCTGCACATAAGTGCCCAGAGAGCTTAAACAGACTACACACTGCTAGACTTCTGCATTAGTGAAACAGCTCTGAAATCTTCAAATTAATGTTATTCATGTTTTAATCTTCATCCTTTAATTGGACAAACATGCCATAAAACATCTCTGTGGATGCACAATGCTTTTAAATGTCAATATTCAAGACTGAACAGGTAAGGCTTTTCCAGTCATGGATGTCACATAAAAGAAGCCTGTAGGGCATATTTCTCACCAACACTCTGCTCTTGCTGAAATAATTGTTCGGATAAAATCAGGAAAGATCTTTTTGCTTGTTGCATTCAGATAAAGGTTTCTCTAATGCAGAGAAAAAGAGGCTTTTTTTTTTTTTTTATTGTGGTCTTTTTAGTCAGCACAGTCTTCTCACACTCAGCCTCCTACAGGTTACAGTAGAAGGAGTCTAGAGGTGCCCCGAGGTCGGTGTTTGAAACAGAATCCAAACAACAAAGCAGTTAAGTACCTCTGAGCAGCAAATGATGGCTCTTACAGTGAGCTGAAGCTTGAATGCTCATAATAAAAATAAATTAGTTTGGACACAAATTCCTTTTTGCCCCATGATCTTCTCTGCCTGGCAATTTATCACAGACTTTGAGAATGCAAAAGGTTTGGATGGGGAGAAAATATTTCCTGGTTGTTTACATGACCATTCACAATGCAGGTGAAACCATTAGAAGCACTGAGCCAAGGCTTCTGGTGTTTGACCAACTCCTGCAGTGGAGTTGGTGGGAGCCATCTCCACTTCTGTCGCAGAGGAGCTGGCCCTTCCCGTGGTGTCCGGGACATGAGTGGATGCAGAGCCATATCAAGCAGCAGAGAACACAGCTCTCAGGCCTGGGTCACTCAGGGATCTTTCCTTAGACATGAAAGCAGAAGCCAGAGAGAGAGAGAAGATGGGAAGAACATCTATAGGTGTTCTTAAAGACAGATAAAGCTTCCATGCTTGACAGCTTCATTCTCGATCCTCCGTTGTAGGGCAAATATTTTTGTTTAACACCAAGGCCAGAAGACAGCCGTAGATCACTCTCAGCCTTGCCAGGGAGGTACTTTGAACCTGGGCAGACTTATAGTACAGCCCTGAGCAAAGGCTGACTCCACCAGCAAGTCTGTGCTTTGGAGAAGTTTCTTCTTCTTCCCTGGCTACTAGAGAGAGAAATTTACCCCAGGACTATCAACTCATCTCACACTTCCACTCGCCTGGGATAGCTGGCACATGCAGCTGTGCCCAATCCTTGCCATCTCCAGCACTTAAAACCAGGAGAGATCTTTAAGATCCCCCTGCTAAGCCACTGTCTTGGATAAATGCATACGTGCACTCAACCAACAGCCAACAGTGCTAGGTTGGTTCACACTTATGCCTCAGCAGGATTCATGCACCATCTCACCCAACCCTGAGGGGATCTTCAGAGCCTGCCTACTGGACCAGGCCTCATCAAAGGTGTGTTTGCACAAATCCAGCCTCCAAAGCTCAAACATCCTTCTCTGCCAAGCTTGCTCTGCTGTCTGCAAGGAGGGGAAGAGAACTGAGCTAGTGAGGGCAATACACCAAATCACAGCACTTAAATCTGTCACAGCCAGTTTGCAGGAGACCCGGCATTCACGCCTTGTCAGCCTAAGTCATCCTCATGGATTTTCCCTACTGTATGTGCCCTGCCTAGCCCTTATGAAGTCTGATGTACTTCACTGAGCAAACTATCAAATGTAAAACTGCTTTTGTTTGTATTTTGCATGTTTCCTTGGGTGGAGGAGGGAAAGGAGAAGTGGGGTAAGTCAACACAATACTGAAATTACAACAAGCAAATAAAAATTTTCCATGTAACGCATCTTGGCAGGAACATGCCGTGAAAAGCAAACAGTTAGAAGGCCTTACTAAAGAAAAGAAACAGGTGATTTTAAGCCAGGACCAATTGTAATCAGCAGCATTTTGGCCCATTTACTCTGGCTGCTGCTATTTCCCACCTGCTGTTCTGCCAGTCTCTTCTGGATTTCTTGGTCATCACAGATGTCATAAACAACAGGCTTGGAAAGCTCAGACTCAATCCGGGCCAACCACGTGCGAAGGTTACTCATGTTTTTGTCCAATAGTTGTATAAAAGCAAATGTTTCCTTCAGTTTCTTCACCCTAAGCAAACCAGGAAGAACATTTTGTTACGCAGATCAATCAGTGGATCAGCACTGATCAGCAACCAGCGGAAATGATGTCAGCAGAAGGTGATCACAGGCATGGCTTTATGAAGCACTTACTGTTGCACCAAGCTGTTGCCTGTAAATCAGAGCTGTGTTTTAGTCAAAACCTACCTAAATTGGCTCAGCAGGCCTCTGCTCTACAGCTGCAGGAAGGTCTTGTGTGAATTCTTTAATGAAACTATATGAGCAGAGTGAATTTTTGTAGCCTCATTTATCTGCTAGTGAGCCCTTCTGTCAGTTCTTGGACATTTGTCTAAGTGGGTGTTTGTACCGTAACATGCTGCAGTTAAACTAAAATGGGTATCTGTGGTCTGATTTTCCTGCTGTGAATTACATTCAGTGTCTTCATCAGCAGCCAACAGGCCCACCCTAATCAGCAAGGTACTGCTCCACCAACGGAGGCAGAATTTGCCCAACCCACAGGTCCAACACCCTGGGCAAATGGATGCTGACAGGAGAGGAGAAAGCCTGAACAACAGCCACTGTAGAACTTACAGTGAACATTAAAAGCTCTTCTAAACAACACACTGAAGTGCGTGGAGGTGTGCCAGACTCTCCTGGTGGGTGAAAATGAAAAAAAACAAAACCCAAAATCCTGAAGAGGAAGAATATCCAACAGCTAGAGAGTTGTGCAGCAGACAAGCAAATGAACCATTGAGACCATTTACTTTTCTTACAGCTGTTTGCAGCACAGCTCTCAAACTGCAAACAAACTTTTCTTTATTTCCAGCCTTTACAGCATATTCCCATGTCAAAACCCCTTAACAGCCCCTCAAATTATCCAAATAGCATGGTTGTACATTTTGGCAAATTTGTCCCCACGTGCTGGAGGAATACCTGTTAAACTACCTCACTGCTCGCAAATCTTTCCTTCAAATTCTCAGTTATTGCAATTCCCAACAAAATGTAATAAAAAGCCCAACACCGGGGTGACACTTATCTCTTCTGACTTCAAACTCGTATTGGAGCTTGCCACCTAGACCTTGGTAGTCAATGGAGGAAAAAAAATAAACTAGATCATTATCTCCATCAGACCTGTCTTAAACAACCAGATCACAAGATGAGATGAACTGTACGAAAAAGCACATCTTTCTCTCCATGAACTGCAATGGTCTACCCCTCAGTACTAGAAACGTCAACACTGCAGATGCTAAATCATCACTGCAGGTGAAATCATCCCACCCCTGCCCTATGGAAAACCCACTGCTTAGCCAGCATTGCTTTCCTGTGCTGTCCTCCTGGCTGCTTGCATCCCTCTGATGTTGAGTTCTGTCCCTGCGCCTTGGGTTGGATTTTTGGACCTTGCATGTGATTTTTAAAAGGCAAATTTCCAAATTAAACCGTAAGTTATTGCCTGGTCTAGCAACTAACTACGCAGATGAGCTGCATTGTCTACGGCAAGTGCAGTGCAAAAAGTTAAAGTATGCATTGTGAAAAGGCTAAAACATTTCCCATTCGTTAGCCACCATGACTGGGAACTGTCACCAGCAAAACAAAACCAGCAGCTGGGACTGGAAGGGCAGCTTGTACAAGATCACTGTATGTCCCAAAATGCAAGGTTTGGTGAGGGGTCTGAGATGAACCTAAATGTACTTGGCAACACCAGTCCTGTGCAAGCTAGGACTGGGGCAGGGTGGGGGGTTGTAATGTCATCTAGCACAGGCAGGGACAGATTACACCAAGACAGAAGTGCCCTGACAGGGTACCTGGATGCTGGCTTCATGCTAAGCACCTGCCCCTCCTTGCAAGATAAATGAGGAATTCCCTGGCCAGCCGTCCCGCCTGCCGCCACGCTATTCTAGCAGGTTTTAGAGGAGAGGGCTCCAAACTGCCTGTAACCAAGCGGCTTTTGCAGTTGCCTGTTGCAGCATGTGATACAATGACAGAAGATACACAGGACAGCTAATCCATAATAAATATGCCGCTCTGTAAGCAACAACTGATCTTATTAGCAACCTTAAGGTAATCAAAGAGGATGACACTTGATTTAAGGTTAAGCACTTATGGAGGAGACGCGGGAATGATCCTGCCAGACTTTTTCAGTCCTATTGGTTACTGTGAAGGTACGGAGCAAGGCCAGTAAATGTGGGGTCTCATATGGATTAGCAGCATGGGAAACACCTTCCCGTACCTCTTGTCCCAAAACGATCAGGCAGTACTTTCAGTTGTTTTACAAGGAGGGCGAGAAGATCACAGTCCTATACTAGGACTCCTGGCAGGTATTTTGCAACCCTGCACTCTCCAAAACATAAAATTAGTCTTGTCTGAGTGATGCAACCCTGCAAACCACTCTGAAGGATTTAGCCCAAGTCCGTGGTCCACCTTGTTCCTGCCTTGCACCCACAAAGACGCTGATGCTGGTGTAGAGTGCAAAGCAGCTGCCTCTGCCCCTTCACACCCACGGTGCTTTCCACTGCTGCAACTGTCAGAGGAAGCCAGCGGATGACAAAAGCATTTAGTGGCTCTCGCTTTCCTTAACAAGCTCTTTTCAGAGCTCTGCTCCCACATTCATCCCTGTACGCAGAAGGCATCTGGCTCCCAAGCAAACAGCTGCTATATAAATCTTCCTGCTCCTGCTTCTGTTAAGTGGTACTCAATGAACACATCGTAGTCTGGTAACTATACAGCATTTTCTTGTGCTATCATGGGCTGGCAGTAATTTGCCCAGGAGACCTCTGCCTCCACCCTTTCCCCTGCTTCTGTCCCACCAGTCCATTTGGATCCAGTTGGTTATGAAGCTCAGCGGGGCCTGTGACTCCCCAGGGCATGTGGCCCACCAAAGACAGGTGACTTGGGAACCCTTCTCCCTGGAGAGGTGGGATGATATGGGCTCTGTGCTGAGGACCAAAGGGAAGAACCGCTAGAAGAGCCAGGCCTGAGGAAGAGTCTGAGCCAAACATCTATGCTGTTGCATTGTTAACTCTGCATGACTTCAGGCCAGTCGGGAGGAAAGCAAGGCTCAATCCTTGCACTGTCCCTGACTGTATCCAGTGGCAATTTATTCTCTGCATATTCTGTGATATTCCCCACTAGTGCTTTGGAAATGTCTCTCGGGCAGCTTGCAAGAGATGCACATCTTGGGACCGTCCGATGCCACAGCTGACCTGCTGAGACCACAGCTTACAGTGCTGCTCAGTATCATCTCTGCTTCCCTGTACACCTTTCTCTGCCTGTATCTACGTTTCCCACATTGAAGTTGCATTACAGAAAAATTCATGGGTTGCAAGACATCTTTCTTCAGTCTGCATATGGGATAACAGGTAGGTGAACATAGCCAAAGAAGTCAAAAGCAAAACCAAGGGATATTAGATTATAAATTCATGTCTCTATGACTGTCAGCACATTCGATAAATTTAAAAAGCAACAGTTTTAGAATCCAAGCGGGGTTTTTTGCCCCCCCCCCCCGAATATTATTTTGGCTTAGAAATCACTCTAAAATTCAAGTTGCAGATATTACCATAAATATGTGGGGTTTTATCTACTAGTGTTAGTAGAAGCAACAGTCTCGAAGACAGCATCACTACGGTACTGCGAGCTTGTATTTCCTTTCTAGCCATTGCCACTGCAGACGCACCATTGTTAAGTAATTAAATTAATTTGTTAGATAGAATATGGCATTTGTCAGTCATTTAACCACCCTTAATGCTCTAAGTCATTAATCTCAAACTTGAGCTAAGCAGACAGAAAAGAATAAAAACCTAACAGAAGTTCACATTAGAGCAGTATGTAAATAGGAAGGCAGGCCCATCCAGATGTTCACATCAGCTGATCTGCACTTGTGGCAGTCTGCAGACACAGAGCCCAAGGTAAAGGGTAGGGTTCTGCACTGAAGCAACCGGTGAAATAATGGAAAATTTGAGCATCCTCATTGAGCACCCTCAGCTTGCACCGAAGGCCTGGGGAACTGCCATTTCTCTGGCTACAGCTCAAAGAAAAATGTAAAATAGACTAATTACATCCATAAAAGTCTTACATTTGCAACAGCCATTCTCAGATGCATTTCTGCAGACTGCAAGTATTCTTGCAAATTATCTGCTCTTTGCATGAAAGAAACCTCATGAACTCTTTTGAGATGCATCCTGAAGGGACTGTGTGTCTGGGAAGATGCCTCCTGGGAGTTGGGTGGGGGTGCACAGTGCAAGCCATCAAGCCTGGGGGCAAAAGCTCCCCCCACATCCAGGTGACCAATCACCCAACACACAGTGAATTAACAGCAATAAAAGTTCAAGAGCAGTCGAGGAACCGAGCTCCTCCCAGTTACCCAGAAGGCAGAAGAGGCTGCCACCACTGTTGATTGATTGAATCCTTCTTCTACAAAGTGTAATTCTCAAGTTATTTGGTCAAACTGGCAAAACTTACTGCTGGATAAAGGCCTACCTGCCCATTCACCTCCCAGTGAGAACTCACCTGCTGCCACCCAACATGGCCCCAGCAGCAAAAAAAACAGTAAAAAAAATAAAAAAATCCAACAAATACCACCAATAATCTAAAAAACCCTAACAAAATCAAACATTTCTTATACTTTGCAATGGGTCCAGCTTAAAAGATACCCTGATTCAAAACAGCACTTAGACACATGCATGAGATGCCTGGGATAAGCCAAACAAAGCCAGTTTCTAAATGTCTTATCTTTACACCAAAACAGAAGTGGCAGAAAAAGAACAAAACTAGTAGATTGTAACTACAAGCTGGCTGCAAAAGTGAACAGAAGGACTAACTGACCTGACTCGAGATTGGATTTGGGTCTTAATCTCCTTGCTGTAGTTGCCAGCATTGGGTTACAAGAGAAATGCACAAAGCTGTTTCAGGCTGAATCACTGCATAGCCCCACAAATAACACGGAATATTTTGCATAACTACTCAGGAAATATCTAGCAGTAGAAGGTACTTCCAGGTTGACTGAAATGTATTCACACAAACATAAAGAACTGCAAA